CCCCCCCCCTCCTCACCAGAGGCAGAGACAGACTTGACCAAGTCAGTTCAGTCTGGGACTGACTCGTGTTGGCTCTGGTCAGGACCTTGAGCTCCAGCAGCCTCGGCTGAGCTGTCCTCCTCACACCACACCAGCCCAGGACAGAGGAGGTGGAGCGCTCCGCGACAGCCTGACTGAAAAAAATAAAAGCATACAGCTACAGCTGCTCACAAGATCACTCACTTCAGAAGTTTAGACATTCTTCTGTAACCGATGCCATCATTATGCTTTGCAACAATAAGGTTGTGAAGGTCTTGAGAGAGCTCTTTACTTTTACCCATCATCAGATGGTTCTTGTGTGATACCTGGCCATCATTTGAGACTGAACCAGCTGATATTAATTAACTTGCACTGACAAGGGGCAGGCTTGCTTTCTAATTACTGAGAGAGTTCAGCTGGTGTCTTGTCTTTCCATGCCTTTTTACACCTCCCTTTCTTCATGTGTTCAATACTTTTTCTCTGTGCCATTCCACATTATTACAAATAACTTCATTTCTGGACATCTATGGTTTGATTTCTTTGTATGTATGGATCACTTGGGTTGTTATCAACATCTGGTGAAAATTTCATGTCATTAGCACCTCTAGTAATATATTTACTGAGAAAAATGGTGACGTGTTCAATACTTATTTTACCCGCTGTATATTTTCACAAACACAGGAGGGTTAAATGCACTGACCTCAGTGAAGACGGGTGAGATGAGCGTGGTCAGACTGGCAGATTTACTCAGCTGATCTGGAGCCTGTACACAGTGAAGGATATTACTAAACAAATACTACGAGTTAGGATGTACAAGTATTGGGATTGTACCGACCGTTCCGTTGAGAACCTTCCTGCCCTCTGGTTTCTTCTTACGGACCGTTGTGAAGGACCACTCTGGAGACTTATCGTTCTCCTTGTTACTGGATTCGCTTCACAAACAAAAACAAAACTAGCGTTAGCGCAGGACGCTCGTACACACTGAGGTCCCCGCTGCAGGCGGGGCGCTTCACGCTCACCTGTCGGAGTCGTCGGAGCTGCTGTCGCTGTGGCCCTCCTCCTTCCACCTCCTGTACCTGTCGATCAGCTCACTGAGGTAGGACGTCTTCTTACAGTGTCGCACGATGAACTTGTGTTTGAGCAGCTCCTTGGCTGTGGGACGCTGCGTGACGATAAAACACAGGCTTCACTGAGGCGGCGAGAAAAGCTCGTCGTTAAAACATTTATGTAGCTTTGAAAAGAAAAACACAAATGTTTGTTCTGTGAATGAAACGGCTGAGATCGTTATTTCTTCTGCACGCTTTTCTGCATCTCATTCTGCAATTTTTGTGCCATTTTAAGATTTTATATAATAATAGTGATAATTTAAACTTTTCATTAACAAAAAATCTCATAGTGCTACAAAACATCAAATTGTGGTAGACAAAAGCAGTAAAATCAAAAACAATAAAATACACTAAAAAACAACCAAAGCTCAAGTTTTAAACTGTTAAAAGATTTATATCAAACCGTTCAGCTGCTTCAAGACATTCCTGCTTAAATGTAATTTTTCTGCCTTTTTCTTTTTATTAAAACTGAACTGATGTCTTCATTCAACACCTTGAACACTTCATTATGTTTATAAACCTTTGCTGCCTTTTTAACTTTTTTTTAACCACTTCAGTAGAAAGCAGTACTAAATATCTGAATATTACTATCTTAGCTTCTTCTTCATCAGTGTTTTTTTCTTTTTTTTAAATCTCTTGTTTCAGTTTAGCTTTTTTAACTCCTCTGTGCAAATTTTACCTTCCATCAGCTTGTATTTACTGTATTTATTCATGTATAATACGATCTCATGTATAATACGATCTCATGTATAATATGACCCGCCTTTTTAGAGCTTAAAAAGCATGAAAAATTGAATCCTCAAACTATCTCCAATTTCATACAGACCAAGTTTTTTCAGCCTTTGCGGTCTTTATACATATCAGTAAAATGATCATTGGACTGTTCATTTTAACAACATATGTACTAAAAGGTTTTTTGACAACAAATATGTATATATCAGCATCATATGAATTCTGGCATTTTACACAGTCCACCAGGAGGCGCCAACACAAAAGTCAGAGACTTCACATGAGATTTGGGCCATCTTGTAGGGGAAAAGCAGATTACTTCCTACTCGCGAGCGCCCCCTCTGGTGGGGAAACTCTTTTTCAGGGATACAAACTTTTTCAGAACACTGGTAGACGGCAGCCATTACAGACGAACATGTGTTTGTTGTTGTTCAAGGAGCGGCTCGGTCACACGCTAATGTCATTAGTTCACTTTCATTACTTAGGTGCAGGAATACTTTTTTCTTTTTTTTTCCACATCATGTCGCCTGCTTGGATCTGTTATTATCTCACTCTGAAACATGGAGGAGTGTCAGAGGTGAGCTCGTTTCAACTGCTTTTTACAACGCGGTCTCATTTCCGGACTCTAATTTTGTGAATGAAGCCGATATTTCAGGTAAAATACATAAGTAAAAATATTTATCAGAGTACAGTACTACCCCCCAATTTTATGGACGATTTTATGGATTTAATTTTACGCATTATACTTGAATAAATACAGTAGTTGTTTTTAGCCTTTTTCTGATTTTTTAAGCTATCATCTGACCTTTTATGCTTTTCTTTTGCCAATTTAATATTTTTTGTTCTTCTTTTGGCTGATTTTTGCTAATTTCAGCTGTTTTTTTTGTTGTTTTAGCTACTTTTAAGCTAATCCAAACTTTTCTTCAGCCTAATTTAACTTTTTGTGATAATCGCAGCTTCTTATTACTTAAATGATCAAAGATGTTATCTTTTTTGTGCTGATTTCAGTTATTTAAGCTACTTCGTTTGAGCTATTTTAGGCTAATTTCAGCTTTTTAAGCTATTTCAAAACAAATTCTTGTTTTTTTTTTTTTTGCTCACTTGGAAAATTTCACTCTCATTTCCTTGTTAATCCTAACTTGTTTTTATCAAATTTTAGATTATTTTAGCTAATTTATTTCTCCTTTCCTGTTTTTCTGACACTTATTCCCTTAATTTCTACAGATTTTTTCCCTTTTGTTGCGCTACTTTTAGCAAAATTCATCTGTTTAAATTCATCTCGCAGCTTTCAGCATTATGCATTCACTCTGTATTTTCAAAGGAAATTCTATTTCTCTAGTTATAAATAAAGGACTTATTAAAACAAATAACTTATTTAGCTCCAAAAAAGAGACAGAAACAAGACTGAAAACAAAAAAAGATTGTCCAGTAGATGGCAGCAAAACGTCAAATAAAAGGCAGATAATTTCAACCCACCTCTACAAATAACTGAATCTAAAGCAAAATAAAAAAGCTAACAAGCTGTATTTTACAGGGTCGCTGCCTCCTGAGTTAACAGGCTCAGTCTGTGCTCTTCTTACAAAAGCAGGGTCCTTGTTGAGGCAGGCCTCCGTGAAATCCTTGAAACTCTTGGAGAAGTCTCCGGTCAGCGTCGGAGGAGGAGACTTGGGAATGTGGAAGAGGACTCGCATGGGGTGCATGTCGGAGTTGGGGGGCTCACCTTTGGCCAGCTCGATGGCGGTGATGCCCAGCGACCAGATGTCGGCCTGCGGGAACACAAACAGGTTCAGCGTTTAATCTTTGCAGTTAAAACCACCGATGGTTTGAGGCTGGCCTTTCGTTTGCACACAGGTTGAACAGGCAGCCGCCGTGTGTCAACCTGAGAAGACACACACACAACACACACACACACACACACACACACACACACACACACACACACACTGCAAACCTCCTGGATGTCACGTCTTCTCAATGACTTCAACTAACGCCTGGTTAAAAAAAAAGACATTGTGGCACAAACACACAGCCGAGCTGTTCGGGGTCAAGTTACAACGAGACGCTCGGTTGGACAGTTAACCCCATCGTTACCGCTACACACCAACCATATGGCACGAGAACACACACACACAAACACACATTTGTGATCCCGTGGTGGAAACACGAGGTGTGTCGAGTTTTCACAAGCAGAACTCAGCTCAAACAGATCTGAGTAAACAAGATTATTTTCCCAGAGATTAAAGGTCTGAATTAATGAAGAGACATTTAGTAATAATTAGTGGTCCTTGATGAACGGCTCACAGATTATCAGAGTTATCAGTTAACAAAAGCTTTGTTTCAAGTCTCTTACCAACCGTTTGGATCAAAATAATTAGATATTTTTTACCCAGGTGTTTGAAATGTGATAAATATGCTTCTTTTTTACATCTCAAAACCATAGATGCAACATAGAAAACAGCTGAATACAATATGGGTTTATAAGGTTTGCAAATAGTTGAATTTGTTTTATTTTATATTTTACACGTTGTTACACCTGCTAGTAAAAATTAAAGAACCCAAACAAGCTTGGCTTATTTCTTACTTTTTGTTCTCAGTGAGTGACTCGCCAACACGCTTCATTTGTTTTTCTGCCCTTGATGGAGTTTCAGCTAAAGCCAGGGTCACAGTCAGACGTTCAGATGTTTTTGTTTTTCTCTCTGAGATCTTATAAAATCAGCAGGGGAATGTAGAGATATTAAACTTTGTGTTTGTTTTACTGGTTTCTCCTCCAAAACACCCTGTTATAATCCAGGTTCTCCTTCCTGAACCTGATGACATCACTATGAAACGTTTACAGCCTTCCTGCACGCTGGCCAATCAGATGAGACTGCACCTTTCTGGAGGAGGAGCTTAAAGGTAACTCCAATTAGTTGTAACATTAGAGTTTATATGATAAACATATACTTTAACTGTAAAATAAAGACAGTAAAAACACTGTAGGATGTTCAGTTTTTATAATTACACAGACAGGGCCATTTTATTTACACACAAAGCATTCTGGGTAAATGATGATGTGGATAGGTCATCGGTGCGAGGCTGCTAGCGAGCTATATTCATCCTGAAGGTTAATCTTGGACAATATCTGATGATCGACTCTTTTAAATGAAACCAGAGAGCGTTGACAGAGAGGAGAAGGTAGAAATGACTCAGTCTGTAACTGAAAATATGGATGGAGGACAACAGAGCTGCTTCATGGAAGAAGAACCTCAGCTTAGCCTGTTAGCTTTAACATTAGCCCCGACGCTATCACCATATATATGTATTAGCTCAGCGCTACACATTCTCCTCTCGTCACTGAGGTCCTCCATCCACATGACAGAGAGGAACACAAAAATGACTCAGCCTGTAACTGAAAATATGGATGGAGGACCTCAGTTTAGCTTGTTTGTTGCACTAGCGCCGAGCTAATACATATAAGACAATATAACGTGGGCGCTAGCGCTAAGGCTAACAGGCTAAGCTGAGGTTCTTCTTCCATGAAGCAGCTCTGTTGTCCTCCATCCATATTTTCAGTTCCAGGCTGAGTCATTTCTACCTTCTCCTCTCTGTCAACGCTCTCTGGTTTCATTTTAAAGAGTCGATCATCAGATATTGTCCAAGATTAACCTTCAGGGTGGATATAGCTCGCTAGCAGCCTCGCATCGAGGACCTAGTTGATGTCATCATTTACCCAGAATGCTTTGTGTGTAAATAAAATGGCTCCGTCCGTGTTAAAATATATTTAAAAAAAATTACAAAACGAAACATCCTACAGTATTTTTACAGTCTTTATTTTACAGTTAAAATAAGTTTATCAAATAAAGTCTAATGTTACAACTAATCATGGATCCCTTTAAAAGAGGCAGGAGATAAAACCACAGACTGTCTGATCCTGGTCCTTGGGGGGGCCACCATCCTGCCTGCTTTTTTCATCCTGCCTGCTTTTATTTTCCAGGTGTTGGAGCAAAGAAAACCTCTACAATCTGTGTGTCAAACTCAAGGCCCGGGGCCAAATCTGGCCCTTGTGAACACTTTTTCCGGCCCCAGAGGTAACAGTTCAAATGTGAAATAATTTCATGGTTTCTCTTTTTGCTGATGTTTTTGGTGCTTTCTTATAACAGCCGGTCAACTTTCAAGCCAAGAAAATTAAGTTTGATTTTTTTCAGTAATTTTTGATTTGTTGTGGACAGGGCAACAGAGAATTACTGTATTTTCAGGATTATAAGTCGCTTCAAAGTGTAAGTCGCAGCAGTAAATAAATGCATCATGAAGAGGAAAATAAATAAATATAAGTCGCTCTGGAGTATAAGTCCCAGGACCAGCCAAATTATGAAAACGTGCGACTTATAGTCCGAAAAATACAGCAACTTTAATGATGTTTTAAAATTAAATAATTGGATTTGTAATGAGGGTTTTCTTTTTTTATCTTATTTACTGGATTGTGATAAAAAGTATTTAAGATATAAATTAAAAAGTTGTTGATAAGAGAGTAAGGCAAAATAAATTAAGTTTAATGTCAAACAATCTTTGCTTGACATTAACACAAAGATTGTTTGACATTTTTGACAAAAATTTACCTTTTTCCTTTATCTGTTAGGTTATGTATGTTCTAAAATGCTACATAAAAGTATTTGGTAATGATCACTTGTTTTAGAAAATATGGCTTGGACAAAGTTTTGAATTTTGCCCCCCTTGTTTGATACCCGTTCTAAAACCTGCAGGATAGTGGCCCAAAGGACCAGGATTGGACACCACTTATGTAGACTAAGAATTAAAACCTGCTTCAACTCCTGGGATCTGGTCAAAGGTCTATAATCAGAGGTGTCCCAGTCCTGCAGGTTTTAGATGTTTCTCTGCTCCAGCACTGATGATTTGAATGAATGAGTGATTAGCAGGCTTCTGCAGAACTTGAAACAACTAAAACCTGCAGGAGATAGGCCCTTAAAGACAAGGACTTATTAACAAAGGATTTCAAACAGGAAGTACAAAAACACTCTGCAGAAAGGACCAATAATCTAAAATAAGAGGCTTTTAATCCCATTTTCGAAAAACTAAATCATAGCCAATTCCCAAATCTGTGAAGTGCTTCTAAACAGGGTTTCAGTTGGTCACAACTCTGGCTCCTAACCGCTCGAGTTATGACGGCACAAAAAGTCAGTGACGTTTCCAAACCATCTGGTATTTCAACAGCTTCCTTTGTCTTCTCTTTATTAGGAATTTTAAAAATCCTCTCCAACCAACAAACCATCGTGTGTTTTATAGCTTCGTTTTTAAAAAACAATGATGTTGTAGTTGGACAACAGAAAACAGATCCTAACTAAACTGTACACGTTTACTTTTATTTCAAGTAACTAATCTTTTTCTGAAGCTCGAGAACGGTAATAATTTTTAAAAAAATGGACCTCTACAAATAAAACTTTCACTCAGACATAAATGGAACCACATCAAGAGGCGCTGCAAACACACCCTGATGGATTTGTCCCGTTTCCACACGCCCTCAGCAGACGTCAGCCTCTTGTGTCATTTCATTAGACCTTTGTTTACCTTGTTATTGAGCTGCAGAACCAGACTTGGCGTTTGATGCCAGCTGCTGCGCTCCTCGCTGAATAAATCTGTCTCTGGCGAAATACGGGCTTTTGTATCGGAGGCAGCTGGCTTCATTGCAACAATCCACAAACAAAGAGGCTGACGAGGGAATCCCGCTGAACCTGAAAACATCATCGAGTCATCATCATCTGCGGCACAGATCGTCGGCCAGACAAACAGCCGGCCCCCCTTCTTCCACCGCATGCAAATAAAAAACAGAGCGCGCTTCGGAAATAATGCAAACAACCTCCGAGTCAGGAGCAACAGCAGCTGCCACGTGGTTCAGGCTGCCTCAGCGATATGCAAAGTTTAAAAAAAGCAACAAACCAGCACCAATGTAAAAGTTTACAACCAACAAAGCAGCTGAAGTCCAACTTGTTTTAATTTAATTAAATTTTACTCCTGGGTTCCTGCAGTCTGATATTAGACAAAATCTCAAAAAAGAAATCTAAAAAAACCCTTTTAAAACAACAGATATGCCTGAATTTGGGAAAATTTTGTGCCATCTAGGATTTATTATCCAAAAATTAATAAATAAGTTAAAAAAATTGTAAGATTAGCACAATCTGAAGGTTTGATACAGCGGAGTGTCATCTGCATAAAAGCCTCCTTCAGCTACAAACGTCATGTAAATAAAAGGGATTCATGAGAGGAATGGATCACCAATTCAAATGATCTTCTTCATACCAGCTAAAATAAAAAGCTTGTGTTTCGGTCCGTTCAGTAGGAGAGGGATGGAGTTTCAGACACAACCAGCCTCTGATCTGAAGCAGAGGTTGACTGGACAAGATTTCTGTTTTTATAGAGCTAAAAGGTGCAGTTTGTTTCTGTAGTGCAGGTGAAGTGTTGACAAGACACGGAGCACATCCGGTTTGTTAGTTAACTCCTTTAAACCAATCTGCAGGCAAATCCAAAGTCTGCGCTTTTATTTTGAAGGCATACAGCTCATGGTAAAAAAGTCAAAAATGAAGTTTCTGACTTTAGTTTGAATAAAAACCTGCAGACGAGGAGCTAAAAGGGACTAAACCAGGTGAAGAAAAGCATCTGACCTTCGAGTCGTAGGCCGACTGCTGGATGACCTCGGGCGCCATCCAGAACGGCGTTCCCACGAAGGTTTCCCTCTTTATCTGCGTGTCGGTCAGCTGACCGGCCACGCCGAAGTCGGCCAGCTTCACCTCGCCGTGCTCCGAGAGGAGGACGTTGGCCGCTGTGGACAATCATCATCATCATCATCACTTCTATCGAGACTTCAGTCAGAAACACGATAAAAACTAATCTGTTACAGATGATCTCATAGATAAAAGTAGCACAAAGCTAAAAGTAGTAAAAGGCTGGATAAAAGCTAACAGTAGAAAAATGGTAGCTAAAGGCAAACAAAGGATCAATTACAGTTGTGATATCATTTAGCTGGCATTTTGAAACATTTAGAATTTAAATAGCCTTTTTTATTTTTAGCTAGACTTCAGCTACTTTTAACTTGAAGCTAATGCTTTGAAACTTAGCTAGCTTTTTAGCTAGGCTACTCTTCTGTTACTTTAACTTTCATCTAGAATTTTACTGCATTTAGCTTGTCTTGTTGCTTTTATTTTAGCATCAAGCTAACCCGCTGATACTTTTAGCTAGCTACACTTTTGCTTTTTTAGGCCAAAAAAATACATTTTACTACATTTAGCTTTTGAGTAACATTTTCCTGCTTTTAGCTAGTGTTTTGCTATTTTAGCTTTAGGTTAGCCTTTTGCTACTTTTAGCATCTAGTTACTGTTTTACTTTTAGCTAGTTTTTTGCTAAATTCAACTTTTGAGTAACATTTCCCTGCTTTTAGCTAGTGTTTTGTTACTTCATCTTTTTTGCTACGTTTAGCATCTAGCTATTATTTTCTATTATTAGCTAGCCTTTTGCTAATTTCAGACAGTCGGACATTTACTAGATTAACTGCAGGTTCGTAATTTAGCTTTTAGCTAGCTTTCTGGTAAATTTAGCTAGCTTTTTGCTGCTTTTAGGAAGGCAACCTTTTAGCTACTTTAGAGTTTTACTAAATTTAACTTGTCTTTTTCTACTTTTAGCTTCCAGGTAACCTTTTGCTGTTTTGCTACTTTTGATTATAATCTAGTGTTTTGCATCTTCTAGTTTTATCAACTCAGTTTTTAGCTTCTTTTTTATTTCTCTGATTTATTTTAAATATTTATGAAAAAAATCTAGTCCAGGTTCCGCTCAGACCTTTGATGTCTCTGTGGATCTTCTTCTCTGAGTGCAGGTAGTCCAGACCCTTCAGGATCTCCTTCAGCATGGTGGCGATCTGAGACTCTTCAAACGGACCCGCCTTCAGCTGCACGGACAGACGGGTGAGGACAAACAGCTGAAAACTTTAGTTTTACGTTCGTGAGCTTCATGTCGTTCAAACACAGCTCAGTTTCATTACAACAATCCTCAGATTTGATCCTTTTACTGGTTTGTTCAGGAATAAATGTTAACTTCAGAGGGTTAAAATCTGATAATTAAATCAGCTGAAGTGGGTCTGCAGACTCACCAGATCCAGAGCCGAACCTCCACCAAGATACTCCATGATGATCCAAAGTTTACTGCCCTAAAAAAACAAACAAAACTTAAAGCAAAATACAACAAAAAACTTTTAAAACCTAAAAACATCAAGTCAGCACAAAAACAGAAAAATCTGAATTTTGAGAGCTGAATGACTCCGCTGCAATTTATGCAAAAAGCTGAAAATTAGATGTTAAAGCTAAACATGAGCTGAAAGCTATAGGGAACAAAAAGCTAAAAGGCTAACTAAAAAAGGTAAGTAGTGGAGCTAAAAGCTAAAAGCAGCAAAACACTAGCTGAAAGCTAAACAGGAACAAAAGTCTATCAATAAGTTAAAAGAAACCAAATATGAGCTGAACAAGCAAAACGTTAACTAAAAGCTATAGGAAGCAAAAAGAAACAAGTGCTAGCTAAAAGCAGCATAACATCAGCTTAAACTATAAGGAACAATGTTAAACAGAAACAGCTAAACACTACCTAAAAGCTAAAAGTCTAGCTATAAGCTAAAAGACAAAATATGACCCGAACAAGCAAAAGGTCAATTAAAAGTTAAAGAAAGCTAAAGAAAGTAAAATACTAGCTAATGGCAGTAGAACCTGAGCTAAAAGCTAAAAAGGAACAAAAGTCAAGCAATAAGCTAAAAGAAATCAAATATGAGCTGAACAAGCAAAATGTTAACTAAAAGCTACAGAAAGCAAAAAGAAACAAATGCTAGCTAAAAGCACCATAGCATCTGCTAAAACTAAGGAACAAAATTCTACCTTAAAAAAACACTATCTAAAAGCTAAAAGTCTAGCAATAAGCTAGAAAAAAATATGAGTCAAACAAGCAAAAATGTAAACTAAAAGCTAAAGAAAGCAAAATACTAGCTAAAGACAGCAGAAACAAATGCTAGTTGAAAGCAGAACAACAGTAGCTAAAACTACAAAGAACAAAATGCTAGCTGAAAGTTAAAAGCAACAGAACATAAGCTAAATGTTAAGAGAAACTACATTTTAGCAAATTGCTAAAACAAATGAAATGCTAGCTGAACACTGAAAGGAGCAAAATGCTAGGTAAATGCTAAAAGAAGCAAAATCTTAACAAAAAAGAAGAAAACAGTTAAAAGCTATAGTGTAGTAAAACATTAGCTAAAAGTAAAAGAGGCAAATTGCTGATTAAATGTATCTGAGGCTAGCTAAAAGCCAAATGTAGCAAAAGGCTAGTTAAAATGTAAAAATGTTAGCAAGTAACATAATGGCAGCTAAAAGTATCAAAAGGCTATCTAAAAAGTTAAAGTAGCAGTGTGTTGGCTAAACGCGAAAAGTGGAAAAACAACAGCTAAAAAAGGGGAAATGCAGCATAAGACAATGAGTCCAGAAAACAAAGAGAAAAATAAAAACCAAACAACAGAGGTTCAGCTAGGCTAAATAAAACCTCAGGTTTGTTCTGACCTTCAGGTAGGAGCCGAAGTACTTTGTGATGTAGGGACTGTCGCACTGACTGAGCACCGTGATCTCCTGCTGGATGTCCTCGATCTCATCCTCCGCCTCCTCCAGGTCGATCGTCTTAATGGCAACAACACTCTGAGAACGATTGTCGATACCTTTGAACACCTGCAGGAAACAAAGAAGATGACCGTGACGAGTGTAAGACGAAGCAAACAGCTAAAATAAATCAAGAGAGAAGAAATGAAGTAAAAAAACAACAACAAATATCAAAAATAAAACAAAAAGAAGTAAAAGATTAGAAACCCACCTCTCCAAACGAGCCTTTTCCAATTCGATCCAGTTTTGTGAATAACTCCTCTGGATCAACCTGTGAACTCTGAGAACAAAAAGAAACAATAAATTTAGATTATGGTCACCCACAGGGGCCAGTTTATTTATATAAAACAGAAAAACTACGAGTTTTTACAACTCTGGCAGCGATTGGCAGACCAAGACCCTCTGTTGCTCTGATTGGCTGTCAGGGCTCAAAGTAACGATGGCTGGTTGCAAAGTTTAAGAAGTTTTCTCCAAAATAAGAGAAAAATATTACCAAATAACTGCTAAATATGTATTTTGTTGTTATGACACATATCACGATACAGGGGTCACAATATATCGCGATACATCGCATTACTGTAAAGCAAGGCCATATATTGGCTTTTTTTAAACAAAAAGATTCTAATTAAATAAAATAATACTCAATATAAAGAGTACACCATTAAATTCACTTTCTTTTATGCTATTAGAAGAACACCAAACAAGAGTGTGAACTGCATTCATATTACATTTCTTAAACAATAAGCCTTGATTAAAAATTGATACAATATCGCTTCTTAGGGCTGCCACGATTAGTCGATTAGTCGACGACTAATCGATTATTAAAATAATCGATGACTAATTTAATAATCAATTAATCGTTTTTTCCTTTTTTAATGTTTTTTACTTTGTTTTTCTCTCCAAACTGCTTTGACACCTTCCACTGCCACRTCTGCCTTTCTGTCCTTGACACACATGCACAGTAGTGGTAACTGGGGTAGGCCGTGGACGTCACAAGACRTTATACAGACAGGCTCTGGTATCATGGCTACCTGACAACAGAGCTCAAAGTGTGGGATGATTTTAAGAAAATGAAAGAGAAACCTGTGTAATATCTGCAGAGCAGAAATTACCTTCCACAGCAATTATTTTTARTTAGCATATAGCTAAAATCTAACAATAGCAGCTGCATTCTGGCACGATAAGCTGTATGTTTTATATTTAATTAACGTATGATCTGATTAGTCGACTAATCGAATAAATAATCGGTGATTAATCGATTATTAAAATAATCGTTTGTGGCAGCCCTAGTATCGATATTTTATTACATTAATTATTGCAACAGAAAATGAAAATGTAAAGCGTTCTTATATTCTTCTACCAATTTGTTTAAAAAGAAAAAGTATTTTGTAGCAATGACAAATGTTATGATAGTAAAAAAATAAAGAAATCTCTCAAGGAGGAAAAACTACATTTTCTGATTGCTGCAACATCAAATTGCACCAACATTTAACAACAAAACAGCTTTTTTAACCACCTTCCTATAAACCTGTAACCAACTTCCTCAGATCTGAGGCTCTGCAACACGATGAACCAAACAATCTCATAAAAGACAGAAGGAAACAAGTGACAGTTAAAGAGAACAGGAACTGAGCGCACACACAGCTGCTCGACCACACACACACACACACACACACACACACACACACACACACACACACACATCTCCGAGGAATAACTCGTTTCCTACGTTTGCTGTTTGTCACAATGAGGCTTCGACAACTTGAAAAAGGTCCTAAATAGTTTAACTCGTCAAACCGAGTTTTACTTACAACTCTCAGATTTCAATGAAATATTCTGCTTTACTAATTGATAAAGCTTTGAAATAAAATTAACTATGTAAAGTCATTTAAAATAGGAGTGTCCCGACAACTTTTTCACAATACGATACTGATACTGCAGCCTCGAGTGTTGGCCGATACCAATGTTGACTCGATACAATATCACATCCATTCACACAAATTTTATTAATTTTCAAAAAGTTTTGATCAAGTCAAAAACTGAACAATAAAAAAACAGTAGGTACAAGAAAAACTGACCCATTTATTATTAACCAATGGGTTAAATAAAGTATTCATTTAAATCTAAGAATATTTAACAATTAAATAAAACAAATAAAAATTAGTGCTTATGTTGGAGATTTTGGATGTAGGCCGATATATTCTGATATTCATTTTTTGGCTAATATCAGACTGATATTCGATATTGATATTAGTGCTGGGCGGTATACCGTTTTGTACCGAATACCGGTTTTTATTTTTGTTATGATATGAATTTCCTGAATACCAGACATTCCGGTTTAATAGCGGAACGTTTCGTCGCGGCCGCCAGTGAACTGTTGTTTCCCGGGGGACATTTTTCCTTGCTGCACCGCTATGWGCGTTAGCATGCTAATGTTTGGAGCAGCTAGTTGCAGCCGCGGGTGGCGATTCCGCTGCTTATGAAAAAAACTCAATAAGCAGGGTTTGTACATNGAAAAAAACTCAATAAGCAGGGTTTGTACATTTTATTATCAGCTGAGCTGTGATGAAAAGAAAAATACCGTCAAATACTGTGAAACCGGTGAAAATTTTGAAAATACAGTGATATAAAATTTTGATCATATCGCCCAGCTCTAATTGATATTAGATCGGAACGCCCCTAAATTAAATATGAGCCTATCAAACTGAAATGCTATTTCATTTTATTTGCAATACAACAATAAAAGGTCGACACCGAACTTAAAAAAACATTTTTCTTTTAAATTTGTACCAAACCAACCAGCAAGAAGACGCTTAAAAATACGGAAAACGGTAAGCTAATGTTGCTTGGTAGCCTGCAACCACACACTCAGAAAATAAATAAATAAATTAATCAATTAATTAATTAATTAACTAATTAATTAATTAATTTAAAAAAGAACTAGTTACCACAAATGATTCAATCAATGAGCAGCTGTTGCGGATGTCAGCCCGGCCTGGGTAGAACCACAGGTCTTTGTGTTCCAGAGATCAGGGTGGAACCGGGCCATGAGGGCTAATGCAAACACTCTGAACCCAGGTTTGAAGCCGGGCCGGACCAACCTGAGCTGGGCCTTGCAGTGCATAAAAGCCTATACTGTAGTCTCTTCAGTGTGTCCTGGGTCTTCCTCTGGGTTTCCCCCCTAGTTGGACATGCCTGGAACTTCCCTAAGGAGGGGTTCAGGGTCCATCCTGACCAGATGAACCACCTCAACTGGTTCCTCTGGATGTGGAGGAGCAACAGCTCCACTCTGAGTCTCACCTGGAGAAATGAACTTCTATAAACGACCATCTTTTTTAGGATTCTGTTGAATAAAAAGTGGGGAGATATAGTCTCTCCATGGTGTCCTGGGTTATCCCCCAGTTGGACATCCAGGAGTGTTTTTACCAAACTCCATCTTATTTTGTTGTAAATTAATTTATGCTATGGTTGGTAATAAAAACTCAATGTTTGCTCGCTCTCATAAGACAACAAATTTAGTTTTTTTCCATTTTTGAAATTTCGCATCACCTTGTTTTTCTCCAGGACAAGTTTCAGCAAAGTTCTTTTACCAAAACAGAACCTTTGACGGAAAAACTTTTTTCTCTCAAAAGTCTTTGTTTCAGACGTTCCGGCACATTTTGTCCTGGAACTCAAAAGAACTGGAGAAAGGCTGTTTAATAAGCACCCTCACAAGAAGCGTATGATATTCCTGTGATGCTTGCCTGGGTTTCCTCTGTCGGCTAAATAAAGAAACGCATTCAGACGCCGCAGCGCCGGCCGACCACGCCCTGAGAGCAAACAGAGCAGTCGGCTGAAACGTTCAGCTCAGGAAGAAATAAAAAAAAAAAAGAAGAAAAGATGAGAAAGAAAATGCAGAAATAGGAGATCCAGACTTGCACAACAAATCATGGGACATGTCTGACAGGAGGGAACAAACTAAATCACTCACACAGCTGAAAACTAAAAGAACATGTAGTCAAAGAAACTCAATTAAAACTGCTCCATACTTTTAATTTGATGTCATCAAACAATAATTAGTTTAGAGAAAAGCTCCAAAGGTTCTTTGTTCTAACATAAAGCTGGAGAGTGCTCACATTTTTCAATCAGAAAACATGCAACTGCCTGTTTTTTATAAATCACCTCGAGAAAATAAGGATGTGTTGAAACCAGCAGGTCTGAGGTAACGATGTGATAAATGAGGATTTGGCATCCCCGAGGGGTCCACAGCCCCTCTGCTATGGAGCCAGACATTTTACTGTGCCTCCCTCTTCCAAAACCCTACCTAAAGCCTGCATCCTGGTGCTATTCACTTCAAATAAAAACTATTTTTCAAACTGTCTAACAGTTTTGTTCCCCATGAGAATAAGAGCCCAATAAAAGAAAAATAAAGGAAAGAAGGGTGGTTTCTTTCAGACGATTGGGTCTGGACCTCTACAAGTTCTACAGTTAAACTCCAACATTAAGGTTGTTTTTATTTATTCTCCCAAAGTTTTGATAGTTTCACTTTGAGCTGCAGGACGTTGTCATCATAATGTGCTTCAGTCTCAGTGCAGGTCCTACAAAGGAAAATTAAATCAACGTGTTATCCAGGGACTAAACAAGAGATTGACCAATATTTTGGGACGATATTTGTGTTTTTTTTCTTATATTGGCATCAGTTGATACGTGCATCCAATGAAAACAATCTTAAGGTCGGTTGTTTTTATTGTTTTATATATATATATGTTCTATTTTGTTTGCTATCAGTTGTAATATGGTTTGTTTGTTAATTAATGTTTTTTTTGTTTTTAATTGAGACTTGTTTAACATTTATTATCGTGTCCTTTTTATCTTGTAACTGGAGGAAGAAAAAGAAATACTGGCTTCAAGAATCGGCCAAAAAACTTAGAAATTGGCAGCACATATCGGGGATCGGTCGAGCTCTAAACTGAACAACTCAACCAGTGTTTCCCCTACCATTATACAAGG